TAAGTCCCTACGTATCTGTCCAATGGATGGAAGGCAGAAGAAGTTGCATCCATGAGGACGGGATCCTGGAAAACACCTTGCTTTCGAGGCAGGTGGACATGAGCTGAGGCCTGAGGCCCCCTTAAGGTAAGGTACTTGTGTAAATGTACCTCACCTAGGTACCTACCTTCGAGAATCTGAACGAGGAAGATACTGCGCCGGGCTGGACTCCGTCTCCCTCACCTTTGTTTTCTTTCTTTCCCATTTGCCATGACCACCATCTTGCATCACTCCAGGAGTGCAGAGTCCAGAAGCCCAAGTCCAGACTGCACTGTGGGAAGCAAAAAGCACCCGGGGAAATTGCTTCGACCCTTGGTTCACACAACGGGCGAATGAGAGGCCGCAGCCATTCCGACACCAGCTGAGCGACAAAGACTGGAACTCTGCATCGCCAACATGGAACCCAATTACTCCGTGTAATTCACCAAATGTATCAGGTCCGTATTCAAACTCTCCTCACCTCGACCCCTCGACACCTCCATAGACCCTCGCTGAACCCTCGTCGATCGATGAACCTTTGAATTTGACACGCCTTTACGGTTCCAGTCCTACTACATCCCAGCTCCCGTCTCCCATGTCCCGTCCTCACGTCTCTCCCCGCTCTGATACCCAAGGTACCCAAGGTACCCAAGTGTGAGAAGCTGCTAATCATTCCAGGTTGTCACCATCGTCATCACACACCACCATCCATCTTCCTGTCGCACCCCACACCGTCTCTGGCTTGGCCTGACCTTTGCTCGACAGCCTCTGCGCCAGTTCAGACCTCGCGCCGCGTTCCTGACATGTCACTCTGTCTGAGTCTCTTCCCCTCTACACTACCTCAGCACCTCAGGTACACTTCGGCCTCGTCGCATTCGTGACAAAATACCCACAAGGCGGGTGTTTGCCACTCACCTAGTCCCGTCTTCACTAGTGCGACATTTCGCCCTGTAATGTCTCCGATCCTACGGATACAGCCATGGGACATTCTCAATCGGCTCGCCAGACTAAATCTCGTCGACCCAATGGGGACCAAAGACACAGAATTGTCTCTCATTCGTCAACAAACCGACAAACATGGGGGCTTCGATGCGAGGTGTCGTGGGCCGGTCAGCACACCCTACGTGCCTGCGTGCCTCCATGTATGCAACTACACGGCGCATCTTCCATCCCACTCGTCGCATACGGCATACGGCTACGGTGATGCGGACGCTTGGTCGGATCCTTAATGTCATAATGTCATCTTTGTCTTCATTCAAGCCCAGTGGAGCTCGGACTCCTATCGCGGCTGCTCCCCGTCCACCTGGTCCTGGAACCGGTCCTGGGTGTTTGGGTGACTGAACCTCACCTCAACGCGCAGCACCTACGCCAGACCATCACCATCGTGCATTGTTCACTTGCCAGATTTCGGTACTTGCGCATGCGCAATGTCATGCAGGCCCAGCTCACCAACCCTTCGCCGATTGTTGTACGACGGCCGATCTCCTTTCGGCATGCCGAAGGTCGGCAGCTGAGGACCGGCGCAACACTTACACACCTCGCCGCTGTCTCCTTGCCTCGTCCCTCGAGGACATTGGATAGTGCGGTGCCCAACAGCCAAGAGTCGCCAGCCAACAAAACCCAACTCCGGTTTCTTGCGGTGCCTCTTCAAACTCCCATCATTTACATCACCATGATCCTCTTCTCGGCCCAAGGAATCCCATCAAGAGGGGAAGGGGGACGCATCGATCGACACCACAGGGCTGGCTGCGCAACCAATCGCTCCAAAGAACAGGCATAGAAAGGAACAAGCTTGCAAGTATTACACCCCCATATGGCCACACACTAGCAGGGCTAAGGCCCAGATGGCGTGGCTGGTAGGGCTACCCTTGAGCTCACCTCAGCTGAACCAGGTCCCCCGTCCCCGTCCCCGTTCCACTCGCTCACACTAACACGCTTTGCAATGCGACAACGCCCCCTTGGAGTCGGAGCTCGCAGGCAGTCTCTGCAAGCTTGCTTTTGCGACGGATGACCTGCTCCAGAACACAATGAGTTCCCCGCCGCCGCGACACGACGTCTGTTCTGTACGAATCTATTCAACGACCTAGAGAATACAGGTCGCCGAGCCGCCACTGCCGCGTACCAATCGCGGTCTACTGTGTACATATGTACGCATAGATACAATGATCCATCAACCACTGTGGATATGTCAGCAATCGGTACTCCGTACCCCGCCGCCGTCCAGGTCTGTCACTGGAACAGCTTGCGACAGTCTCTCTCCACTGGCAAGACATGCCGTGAATCGCTCACAATTCCTCCAGCTCAGCCCGCGTTGCTTCGTTGCCAGATAGTTGCCGGTCACACTAGACTAGAACCTCCTTCGCTGCGATGAATTAGTAGCAATGTGGGATGGCCGCCGCCATGGGAGGTTGCGCCGTCCTACGGTCTACCAGACCCAGATCTCGGCGAAGCAAAGTCCCGTCTGGTCTGGTGGACCGTCTGGACTCCACGGCCGCCGACTTACACGGGTGACGGCCGAACCTCGACCAGGGCCAGGGCCATTTCCAGCTTGTCTTTCCCTGTCATGCGGATGCCCAGAATTCATGTTGGGCTGAATGACAGGGATGCGGTCTTTTTAGTTGCCCCTCCCCCTTGTTGGCGCCATTTCCAGAAAAATCGACCCCAAATGTTGGTCTCCATTCGAATGTGCAACAGGCGCCAACACGCGACGAAGCAAGTCAAGAGTCCGAACTGCCTAGCACAATGGAGTTGGAATGGGAGCAAGTTGGCGCTTTGCTTGTCACGTTCGAGGTCGCATCCCCGTTGATACTTGACTACACCGCCTTATCGGTATTCCCTTCAACGTCTCGTTCTCCGTCCCACTCAACGAAGCCCGCCTCTTATCAGAATCGCCCCCGGGCGGGATAATGCTTATACCAGTTATGGTGCAGCGGTGCTGACACTGTCAGTCGCCTCCTTGGCCAGTTAGAAAAGTCGGGATGGGAGAGACCAACAACACCTGTTGCCCACCCGACCCAGGCATGTCAAGTCAAATACATACTCTCAAGCATATGGCTCATGATGACCGCATCTACTCCGTACAGAGTATCAGCGTCCATCAAACCTGGAAGCCACATTTCTCCACCCGTGGGCGCATCCATGGCCACCCCATCCGCGCCCGCTTCTGCAACACCGCTTAAGCTCAAAGCGTTTCCCAGCTTGGAAGACGACCAGTCGAAGTTGTTAACCACACACCTATGCATGCGCCGCCTTGCGGCAAATCTAAGCAAAGGCTTTTCGCCATCGTGACTATACTAGAGTATTGGGAACCTGGTTAGTGCAATTGTGATTTCAGGGCTCTCTCGCTTATTTCATGAAGGAGGCTGACTGAGAATGTAGAAGGCACTCTGAAAACGGGCCCTCCTAGGCGAGCGTCTCTTGTTCCACGCGCAATTCCAGGATCTCGTCTTCGCACACCTCCTCTCTTATGCTACACACCCTCTCATATCCACGACCCCTTCATCATCTCATTCCTTCCAACCTTCTAAGCGGGACCAGATCTGGCGATACGGTTCAACTATTCCCACATCGTCTTGTCTTCCGCGACCCGGCGCATCAAGCATCGTGTCTATATATATGATACTCTATCCTGCCCAGCTTGCCCGCCAATCCTTCCACCCCACCGGCGCTCTGTTTTGGTCTATGATCCTTATGCCGTCCTAGATCCTTATCCATTCCCCTTGGATCTCAGGTTTCCCACGAAGGACTTCCTTTGTCAAACTCAATTGACAACAACGCTATTTGTCTACGAGAACACGGCGCATAAATATCCTCCGTTTGTCTCAACCCTCGTCCATTGCGACCTGCATCTGCCAAGCAAGGGAAACGGCACCTCAACCGACCTCGACCTACCTCAGCTTACATCCCCTTGGGCACTTCGGAACCGACCTGTTTGTAAGTCCGCTGTCTTTTACATCTACTGGGTGATGCCGCTGCCCGTGATGCGTGGGAACCATTCAAATTCGGCCGATGGTTTCAGAGCTTGCGGCGCAATGAGCCTCGCGCCACCCTAGCGCGCGGCATCCACTCGAAATAGCACCATAAAAGGGATCAAGCACTTACACGTCGATCATCTAGACAGACCTCCGCCAATTTCTCTCCCTCCCTCCCTCCCTCAAGGCTCGCCCTCACTCACGTCCTTTCTTCGGCCACCCTCCTCAACACACGCAAAGCAGTCGGTCCAGCCCGGATCATTATTCGGCAGCTTTCCCTTCCCGACTTACGGCAGATGCGGCGGCCGAGGCCCACCTTCACATCCCCCTAGTCGCTTATGCCCAGCAGCGCCTTTTCATTACTCGCAAGCCACTGCTAGGTCTTGGCCAGGGCCACCAGACACAGGCATACCCCAGACGTACCACCACCTGGCACCACACCGCATCCGAAGTCCATCGGCGAAGGTACCTCTACCTCTGCTGAAGGCTGACAGACCCCCTTTACGACCTTCGCAAGCCTACCTACTCACTTCCCATAATCAGCCGGACTGTCCTTAAGCAGCCATGCCCGCCCTCACTCATGCTGAGCTTGCCTTGGGCGAGCCGCGTTCAACTGGTCGTTCTTACCACAACCTTTCTTTCTCTCATCTCTGCACCGGTCTTCTAATACTTACCGTCTTGGTCACCTTGCGTTTGGTGGTATGTGGTGCTTTCTGGACTACCGCGAGCAACAAGTTCAAGAAGTCTCAAGAATACGATCAACACGCCAAAGACCAACTTGACCACTTGATCAATCAGCAACGGCTCCATCATCTCTTCGTCCAAGACGGGGGCTGGGTCATGGCAGAAAAGTCACGTGGGGTCAGCAGTAACACCCTAGTTGCTGGGGCTGAGTCGACTAGGAAGATCAGTACGCAGGACAATTTCATGAGGGGAAATGAGAAAGAGTCGGTTGAAGGCACAGAGAAGAGGAGCAGCGGCGATATGATGTTTGCGGATCGCATCCATCGAATGGGCAAGGCTGCGGGTCAATCTCCAGCCCAATTCATGTTGTCGAGACCTCCGCAGCCTCCTCCTCTCACACCCCCGGAGCTTTCGCCATCGGTGTTCACTTATGATGAGCGCAGAAGGAGCTTCACCAGTGGTATCTCTGAGCTAGATGCGTCGTTTTTCGAGCAGCCGAACCCCGACTATATGTCATCAACATCAACCGGCGCCTCGACAGCAACGCAAGATGCGCAAACTACGAGGTCCTCCCCGGCACCCCGCAGGAGATCTTACACCAAGACGCTTCCCATTGGAATCCCTTCTCGGTCGTCGGCCCCGATACTTGACGATGAGGCCAGCATGGTCTTTTCCCCTGCGTCGTATCCCCCTACGTCACCTCTACTCCCCGGTCCTCCCCCTATCTACGGTGAAATCCGTTATGACGAGGCCACTCAGCAAGAGATTCTCGTGCGAGGCGAGATTATCTCCTCTCTGGATGGTACGGGGGCCGGATGGAAGAGGCATACGAGAGTATACGGAGGCGGCGTCTGCCTTGCCTGTGCAGCATCCGGTGATGACGGCCACCACCACGGCGGTTTCTACGGAGAGAACGTCTTACCGCAAGAAAAGCGCTATTGAGAAACGAAACTAAAACGGCCTTGAAGTGAGTCGAAACGAAAGAAGAGAGTGGTCTAATCGGGGTCGATGATACCATTGAGACGAGTCCTTTTTCTCTGGGGCGTAAAGTGGCGATAGACGCAAGCGGCGCTTCACCAGCATCACGGCGGCGGCACAAAATGGGTTTGGTATTCCATCTCATCGGGGAGGTCTCTTCGTTTCATCCAACAACTTACAGCATATTTTTACTGTCAATTCTTGTTTTCTTTTCCTCAGCATCATGGTCTTGGGGCTTGTCTATTCCGAATGCTATTGAACGCTATTTTATTACATCTTGGGTTATCGGGTACTCTGGACAATGGAAGAAAGGGGGTTTCTTAATTGAAAAGGGGGACATGTACTGGTGAACGGATGGGGTCGGGATTTTTCTTTTTTTCCCTCTCTTGCAATTTCACGCTTCACGATGTTTATGAGTTGATGATTACGATGCCAACACCAACCCAAGAGTTGGTGTTGCGACTGCTAAGTGTTTTTTGTGTCTGTGTTGTGGAAAAAGATGAAAGAGCATGTACGTAGTTGAGAGAAAGATTTTCGGTGTATGAGTGAGAGTACCTAGGTATGCATACGTGAGTATCTAAACCCCGAGGCGAATCCTAAATAAGTTCATCTTACCTTTGCTGTGTCTGCGTACTCACTCGTGTGGTCCCAAGTCTAAAATCATGAGCGGTTTGAGTGTCAAAAGTATACTGCACAATCTAAAAGACGTATGCCCATCTGGGAGGGGAGTCTGAGGTATCAGTTGGTTTGTTTCTGGTTTCTAGGCCAACTAACTTGAAAGCCTATCAATAAAACCAAGGGTCTTCATGGGGTGTCTTCAGGGAGAGTCTCAATGGGGACACAAGAGGATCACTTGGGCCTCATGCGAAGTGTCACCTTCACTTGGTTGTAGGTTGCTCCGTAGGGGCGAAGCTATCAATGAAGCAGACAGAACCAGAGACCAACGTAGACGATAAGTTAGAGCAGGTGATGTACGGCAGCGAGCGAGCCATCTCCTTCCCCGCCTATCTTTCTTTCCATGTTCCGCGAGTGAGGGGATATCCAGCTTCATTCTCGCCAAGAAACTTCACCTGGTTTGGCTATTGATCTTCAGAGTCTCATGGGACTTTCGTTCAGACAGCGAACAGCCAAGACCTCAGAGGTAAGGGCCCCCGTCGAGGTCTCTTGATGAGGCTTGTCGAGGATAGCACGGCTCCCAAAGTTCCTTCCACCTCAGGCGCGGGTCCACGATAGCTGATGTGAGAGTGCTCCATCTCCATCTTCGAGTCTGCTTCTCCGGTTCCGTTGCGGAAAATGTCGCATCAGGAGTAGTTGCCTAGGTGAAATTGACCGAGTCAACTCAAAAGGTCTCTATCACTATTCGTACCCCTGAGGGCTCCGTCGCATCGCAACCCGAAGACGATCCGCCAACTTACTTTGCCCTCAGAAACCCCCCCCCCCCTCCCCCCGGCGCCGGGCAATATTGCGGGAACAGGCACGGGCACTAGCGGGTTCTGATGGACGTCAGCTCGATTACTGAGATTGAGCTTGAGGATCAAATCCTTTGACCCAAAGTTCCGAGCGTTAGCTTTGATTCGGGGGGCCAAGGTGGTTCGCGAGCCCTCCTCGCAGGGCACCTCGCAGGCAGACGGGATCCACGAACATTCGCACCCCTCTGGCCATGGCGAATCTCGCAAGAAACATGATGTTACCGTCCCTGAAAAGACGCACCCGGTGAGGTTGCCTCGGTGCTCATGTTTCTGCCTTCCCGTGAGATAGAGCGTGGGGTACGGAGACCAAAGTCCCAAAGTATGCCAGCGTTTGTGATTAAGTCTCCGATGACAAGAAGTCTCCGTGAGTTCCCCACGGCGGCTGCGATGAGGGGTATGGCGAGGTTTGCTGCCGAGGGCTGGCTCAAAGGTAATCGGCCATGTTTCAAAAAAGGAATCCCGCCTTGATAGTAGAGCTCCCTCTCAATTGCAGCGGTGATCGCGTTTGGGATGCACTTGTACCTGGACAAGGTCGGTTGCGCACACCACCCCTCGAGAACTCTAATACCCTTGACCCTGTTCTGGGTCCCATCCTCTCTTGTCTTCTTCTTCATCTCACGTCATATTCGGGACATTCCAGAACAGCCAGACGAACCCCACCTGGCTAGAATTAACGGGATTCTCGAAAGTCGGCGGATCCTGCTAGGCTGCCGGTTCGTGACTCGGTCCCCACTTTCCACGGTCCCGAAAGGGGGGGGGGGGGGGAATCATGGGTAAACCGGGAAAGGCAGTTGAAAGTTGATACCGTTGTAGGCATCCGGCAACGGGCGAAAGTGGTTGACTGACCAGCTGCCGCATATCTGCAATGTTTCTGTATCTACGGCCGAGCTGCGCTGATTCCAATTTACCCCTCTTTGTCGACGTGTATGTATGTGTGTGGCCTCTTTTTCTCCATGCGAGAAGCTCGCGCGCAGTTGCGATAACCTCCTTCAACTGACGGCTGCCGTGTAACACACAACGCACAGATACACCGTTCTGTTGGGAATCGCCGTGGTGGTTGCGCGTAGGATCTTGATCAGCGAACCCGCTGTGGGTTGTCTGGAGAAGCGAGGGGTGGGTGAGAGTCCCTCCATAGGGTAGCGGTGTGTCGTTGTTCATGTTTGTTGATTGAACCGACCAAACTGACACGTCGACACCCGTGATGCATGAAGAGCTCCCTCCGCCGTGAGACGCTATACCCAGGCGACAGCGCGGAGACTCGGCCAAAGTATGGCGAAGGGGACGAGCTGCAAGCTCAAGATGGAGATGGCGTTTCTGCGCATGAGCAGATCGTGAGATCACGCCCACGTCAGCTGCCTTGCTGCTTACCACCCTCTCTATCCTTGACCCTCACGCCTCGACAGCTGGACCTCGATGCCGACCTCCGCACACTTGAGAGGTGCCGCCGGAGCCTAGTGATCTTCTACGAATTTTACCGAGCTTGGAAATGAGCGCAGTCTTGACCTCGTCAAAGGATTTCGCGGGAATCTGATATAGGGTCATTTCCAAGGTTGAATGGCGCCCAAACGTATCGATAAGTTGCCAGGTAACAACAATCGGGAGGATGCTATACCCTGGGTAGAGTGAGTTTTAGGAAGAGAGAGCCGCAGGATCCGTCGTTAAAAGATACCGGGGTAACTTATTGGTTTGCTATACGAAGATTGATAGAAAGATTACTTGATTGGCTGATGAGCAGCCGTCGAAGCAGAGCTAGCAAGGAGACGAACAGCAGGAGACATAATCTTACTCTCAGAGGATCTCAGCCCTATGACATGTCCAGGCTGGACATGCAGACGTGTTCCCTCATAGGCTCAGAGGCTCAGCGAGATGGGTTGGCCGCCCAAGAGGGCCTTGGCGAAGCCTGTCTTCATGCCGTTCAAAAATTGCCGCAGTCCAGGTCTCAGCACGATCATAGGTGATTAGGACTGACCGTACACAGTCGGTGCTCGCAAGGATACATATATGATCCGCAAGACTCAGGAACAGGGTCACTGGTCTTCTCGAGCCAGAATCCACACTCCCACACTCGTTGATAACTCCTTTTCACACGTTCCATTCGGTTTGCCAGTAAAGCTGATGTTGCCGTCCCCCGTGGAGGACGCATCAGATTCTCTATACCAAAGGGGTTTCGGCACCTCAGAGCTGACCATCTGGTTCAGCGATTCCACATGGTGACTCATTTGCCCATCTCCAAATTCAGACAGTTGGCTGACCATTACTCCAGCATGGTATCACACCTTTATCAGTCTCAATGCGCTCTTCTCTGAGTGCTCTTCAATAGTCGTGATTTCTGCCATATCAGGCAGACGTGATAGATTCACAATGCTTGCTTCAAGAACGTCAGTCAGTGCTTCCGCAACGCAAATGAGATAGCGCATCCAAAGCACTGAAGACAGCCATGCTCTGCCTTGTCGATGTTTTCAATTTGTCGAGCGTAGATATCGTCGACTCGAAGTAAAAGTAACGAAACAATCGGTCCAGAGTCGTTCACCAAGACACTGGGCTATGTAAAGCGAACGCTATCATATCGCGGGCCAACGACTTTCGAGGACTGTCTGCTCCTGTGTCTAGATGCGCTTGAGGTTCCTCAACAGACGACGGAGTCTGTCTAGCGCTGGCGGTCCTGCACGGCTCCTAGTCGATGGGGAGACATCCGTTGTGACAGTCCGAAATCTTTGGAAAACAGTACATTAGAATGCGCTTAAGTTCGACTGGAGCCGGCTGACAAACTCGGCATGTTGTCAGCAGCTTTCTCAGGCCAACTGTTTCTCGCTGAACTGGCATGCTTTTGAATCGGGAATAGCAACATCCCTAGTTGAGTGAGGGAAAGCCTGCGTCTTTCTGCAGTATACGTGATACTGGTGCAGGCTCCGCGGCTATCAGTTTCATCGTTGACGCGCCTCGCGGCACTTCAACTTCCCGTTACCAAGTATGTCTGGCTCCTTGGCGGTAAAAACGCAATGACATACGAGGCACCTCAAGTCCTGTACTTTGCGCGCTTGTTGGAACAAAGATCTTTGATCGCCTCAACTCAAGATACCATAGAGGCGCCATCTTGCCCAATCAGAAACCTGTCATGGGAATCGTAGAGTCTTGGCCATGAACGCAGGTAGTACCGTAGCCCGCAAGGAACTATCGCAGCGGGGTACGGGAACGCCACGCAGAGAAAGCTGCTACATATGGGGTTTGCTGGTTCTCGTCAACTTGTTCATCACCAATCACAAAACTAATGTCGTGGTCACCTCCGGCGGTTACGGGCCTAGACAGTTGGGTCAACGATCGATGGGTAAAAGGTGGAGGGTTGGCAATTGACTGACTGGGGCCACGTTGGCGATCTCCAGGCTTGCAGATCCGTTCTTGACGAGCTGTTGCTGTGTTCTAAGCGCTCGCCGAGAAAGGGCTTGCAGAATGCATCATGCAGGCGGTCGTCTGCGGGCAAACCATTGCAATGGGCCA